AAAATATATCAATATATATCAGAAATATTAAATAAGCAGTATTTACTCTACCAGTTCTTTCTCAACTCAAGAGTTAAAATTAACCATTCTGTTGCTTTCTTGAGGGCTAAAATTGGTAGGTCATAGTTGAAACTCTAATTTTCTTTTTGGTTTAGAAAACTAGCATTCTGACTCGTGCTATGCACAGGTTTATATTTCAATTCAAAACAATACTTATATACTATAGTATAAGATAAAGTATATAAAAAAGACAAAAAAATTTAAAGAAGTGTATGCTTAACATGTTAAAAAAAGTTTATTTCATAAGTACAAAATGGACATTCTTAATTTTAATATTTTAAATAAGTTGAAACCAAATTTTGTTAACCTATTATTTGTCAATATATGATAACAATTTTAATAAAATAATTTAATTTATAACGATTTATATGATAGAGCAATTGTAAACTTATTTATCAATATATCATGTTATACCCATATATCAAAATTTTTAACATTAAAAATATAAAGTATAACTAATTCATTTTCCTCAATTTTAGAAAATTTTTCTCACATTTTGTAATCCTAAAATTGTTGAGTGCTTATAGAATAATGTTCTTCATAAATTTTAATATATATTTAAAATAATCTTTGTAAGATGTGTTTCAAAATTTTCAAATTTATTAATAAATATCACATTTTCTATCATCTCTTACCTGCTAATTAGCTATCCACTGCCTTCTATGACTTTTAGACCGCTTAACACGGTGTCATCTTTCCTGTCATATCCCTACAATTCCATTCTTTCTTCTCTCCTCTCTTCGCCCAATCTTGTAGTAATTTACCTTTATTTTTTGACTTTTCCTACCACTCTTTAACTTCTTGCTATTCTCTTTCTTTTGTTTATAGCTAACCTTTAACTTTCTATTTTTGCCACCCAATTTTCTATTCTTTTCCCCTCAGCATTCTCTCAAACCCTATAAATTCATAATTTGTTTTTTAGGCTAGTAGTACTTTGTTTTCTATTTAGTAATTTCATAATTTAGGATTCACAAATGGTACTAATATTGATATTTTAAATCCATGACCAGTGAATATTATTTTCTTTTTGTTTCTATATAATTTGCCCTTTTAGTTAGGATTACTGAGTTGAAGAGTAAAATATTGTTATTTACTCTTTTACTTTTAGTAAGGTTGGTGGTTTTCCTCTTTATTTACCCTCACATTAATAGATTTCAAATCAAATTTCTATATAAGTGAGCCACTTCTTACTTTTTAAATTCAAAAGACATGAAAAAATATATAAAAATTAAAAAAATTTAAAATTCTATAAAAAAAATAATGAGGAGTTATAAGCATTCTGATTTAATCATCCAAAAAACCATCTCTACAATACATATAGATATAGATTTTTATAGTATTATGTGTTTTACCCTATTTCCCAGGTTAGGCAAATTGTATTCCCTATTCCTCGTTTTCTTTGTAAGGTTGTTATCTTAATTATTTATTTAAATCAGAGCCCAAGAAATGGAATACAAACCCAAATAGCAATCTCACATTTGACTCATTCCCTCTCCATGTTCTTTATTCACTCTAGAAGGAAGTTGAAAGAGATGGTAAACTGCAGTTTTTGGTGAAATTATGTTGTTATCTCTTATTATTGGGTTGGAGGAGTTTTTAATTGGAATGGAATTGTTAATTGGAAGAGTATTAATTGGAGTGAGAAAGTGTGTGAGGGGAGAAGTGTTAGTTGGAGTGGTATTCTTATTTGATGAAAACGTGGACATGATGTATTTTACGAAATAAATTAAATATAAAATGCTAGAAAAATGGAATTGAGAGTGGAAAGGTGTGTGGAAACTTGTTACTAAAAATCTCTTCTCAGATTTATATAGGTATAGATTTTTGTGCTGGTATGATATTGGTTGCTTTTTATGTGCCACTGTTGGTGTAATGGCTGCTTGTATTTTGACTAAACATATATGTTAGTTTCAATTGCAAAGCATGCATTCTGTACACTCTACCAACTTAGTCTCTACTTGAATTGACCACCATCATTTCTTGGTCTATTTTCTTCTTTCATGTAGGTTCTTATATGACTCATGAGACAAATAAATTTGTTTACTTCTATTTGGATTCAAATGTTGTATTTTTGTTCAAAATTGGTCACTGTGAATAAAGGGGGTGGACAAATCTTAGTAGGAGCAAATTGAGAAGGCTATGGGGAAATTCCAACTTCTGAAAATATATTGACCGTTGATCATATTTTATTACTATTTTTCATTTATTTTGAATGAATTAGATATAATTATTGTTGAAAAATTATTGATTTATATAATTTGTAATTGACTGTTATTGGTTCATGTATAGTTTTAATATTGTGGATGTTAAATTAGCTTTATGAATTAACAGTTATAGTAACTATATTAAAGAAATTAAGGAGTAATAAGTGATTTTGAATTAATCCCAAATTAGGCTCCAAGGTTGAATTTTTTATGAGCCAAATATGAGTTTCATATTTATTAACTCGAAACCTGAAAGTGTTACTAATTAGATGAGCCAAATTTGGACTTGTTAAAATCCGGCTCAGATGGATTGATTGACAGGCCTAGTTCCAAGCAATCAAATTATCATGTCACAATCTACAATGTTGAAAATTGAAAATCAACACTTGTCATTATGATTTTTCTTTTTTCTTTTTGGTTCGAAGGGGAGAGGGGGTGTTAGGAGAGAAGGCTATGCCCACACATTTCTTAACCTGCTCAATTCTCTTGGCTTTGTTTGATTAAAGGGAAAGTTACGTGGGAAAGTGATACGAATTCCCCTAAGATGAGAGAAATATGTAATCCCACAAGAAAACTCCAATTCGTAAGGGGACAGGTTTGGACGAAATTTGGATGGAATTCAAGTAGATTGGCCACAACTTGGGTGGATACCAAATTGATACGACACTTAATTCCCTCAAGAACACGCTCAAAATGAATCAAGATTTGAAAGACAAGAGTCTTCACTCTGACCTGTAGAAAGTTTCAAAGGTTCAATGTCATAAAATCACTCAATTGAATAACTACATTTCATACAACGTTATTTAAACGAGACAACTTTCTAAATTAAATTCTATAGATCGGATCCTAATAGCCAAACAAACTTGACTCAATAATTGGCCCATTAAGTTCAAAGGCTTAATGCATATTGGACTTTTTTTATTAACTAAATAAACAACTTACTTTAAAGCCAAGCAATAATTAATTAAAACGAATAAAATAGAAAAAAATGCTAAAAATCACAATACAAATCTGTGGACCGGCAAACAGCTATTCTGACGTGCCCATATCTTATCTAATACAAGTCTTTCGGTCAACATTTTTTTTACAGGAACAGGACATGCCCGCCGCTTACAATGTGAAGTCTTTTGCCTCTTCCTTGGACAAACTCTTCAACTAATTTCGCTCGTTTCGTATTCGTTTCATTCTCCTTACACCATTCACAATTTTTTTGTGTTCTGTCATAATTTTCTCGAACCGTTCCAATGTTACTTGGATGCCTTGCTCTAGGGAATAAGGTCTTTGTCTTCAACTGAAATAGGATATAAGGTCCATTTGTCTCTCCCTTCAGCCTAAAAAGCCTAGAGTTCGGGTTTAGCAAGAAGTTCTTATCTTTATCCTTATATCGACCAAAAAAAGAGATTTCTTTCTTTGATTCAAACTCCGAGAATAGAGCATCAACAAAAAGATCTTCGAAGGTTGGGATCGCAACCTCAACTGAATAAAGATTAGGAGAAGGTTGACTATAGATGCAGAGCAAGCAAAATTAGTTGAAGAGATTGTTCAAAAAGGGCAGGTAGAAGACTTTGCACTGTAAGATGTGGACACGTCCTGTGACTGAACACAAAAAAATTGTGACTAGAGACTTTCCTCATATAAGACGTAGGTATGTCAGAGTAGCTGTTTGCTAGTCCGCAGATTTCCAAATTCATATAATGATTTTTAAAAAAATTTCTATTTTATCCGTTTTAATTAATTATTATTTAGCTTTAAACTAAATTGTTTATTTAGTTCTTTTGTTTATTCAATTAAAAAAGATCAATATGTGTTAAGCTTTTGAGATTGATGGGTCAATTATTGAGTCAAATTTGTTTGGTTATTAGAACCCGATCCTTAGAGTTTAAATAACGTTATATGGAATATGGTTATTCAGTTGAGTGATTTTATGACATTCAATCTTTGAGATTCTCTACAAGCGAGAGTGAAGACTCTTGTCTTTCAAATCTTGATTCACTTTGAGAGTGCTGTTGAGTGGATTGAATGTCATATCAACTTTGTATTCACCCAAATTGCGACTTGACCTACCCAAATCCTATCCAAATTTCATTCAAACCTATTTTCTTATAAACTGGGGCGTTCTTGTGAGATTGCGGATTTCTCTCATCCTAGGGAAACTCGTATTCAAAAGTGAAGTGAGGAAAGAGAGAATTACTTTGCAATGTATGTTTGTTTGATAAGAAAAATCTTGAGAAAAAATGGATAGTCAGAGACATTTACTAAAAATATTGTGAGTAATTGACCAAATTTTCCCAAAATCCCATAGACAGTGTTTGCTTGTTGAGAAAAATGTGACTATCCATTTTTTTCCTGCATTACGTGTCCTGCAAAATTTGGAAGACTTTGAATGAAAATAGTTGATTACTCACAAAGGTTTCAATAACTTCTATTAACTGCCAATAACTTTCATATTCTCATTGGCATTTTTCTTTACCACACTTTCTTTCACTTCACTTTCCCATACAACTTTTTTTCCTTTGGTAAGTGGAAAGTCTCAAGAGTCAGAATCTCTCATTTACACCTCCACTCCGGTACCATCCAACCCATCCCCTCCCTTCCATCCCTCCCCCTCCTCCCCCCAACCCCCACAAACAAAAAAAAGTACAATTTTCCTTCTATTCAAACGAAGATTTTGTAGGACACAAATGCAAGAAAGTAACAGGAACTTTTGGAGTTGGCCTAGTACCTAGAAGACAGCTCTTAGAGTTCTTCCTACTGCTTGATTTAAAGTTCAAATCCCGAGTCTGGCAATTAAGGGTAGGAAGGGGTGGAGGTTTTAAACAAAAACAAAAAACAAAAAACAAAAAAAGGAGGAAAAGTGCAGGGAAATTTGCTGACTTTCCTGTCAAACAAACACATAGAAAGGGGGGGGAAAAACAACTTTCTCACACTTTCTCACACATTTCATTGCAAACGAACACTACCTTAGGTGAACCACACTTGCGCATGCCACACGGCAGTAAAGCTGATACGGTTGAACTACTAAAACATGGGGTTCCCTGAACTAAATAAGTGATCTTTTTTCTTCGCTTCTACTTCTTCACCATAATGTATATGACGACACGTTGGCTACGATAATCTGGATGCCACTGTTCTTGATTAATACAACCAACGATGAAATCCTTCAATGCGGCTTCCAAGAAATACTCAAGGATGGCATCTGCTAAAGAATACATGAATTTATGCCAATTCCACATGTAAAAGTTCATCGAAAATGTAAACTATATGTACCGTTTCGAAGTTCTCCAGCGAAAATAACAGTTGTATGGGTTCCACAAAGATCCAATAGAGTCGCCAACAAATCCATCACAGCTTCCTCGCTATAGATCACATCTGAGCCAAGCACTGAGATGCAATCACAAAAGAAATGAAGGGTCAAGAAATGATAATGAACAGCATCTTTGAAGTATGACCAAAGTATGTGTGTAGCTAAGATTAGGATTATGCAAAGCAATAAACTGGTATTGTCTTGAATCCTGGGAAATGAGGACTTCAGCTTAGAACAAACCAAGAATACGCACAGAAATGAGCTCTACTCAGCTTAACCCATACTTAAACGTTAATGCACAGAGGTCCAGGGCCAGATTCTACGTCCCATTTCATGAAGGCCATTAATTTTAGCATTCTCACTGTTGGATATGATGTACATAGATTCCATATGTAGAACTTCAGCTTGGGTAAATGGTGTCATCTACAAATACTAGCAGCATAGGCATTCACTAACAACTTATTGAGTTCTCAGCCCCTCAAAAGAAAGTGAAAAACCCCCTTATAGAGATAACCAGCAAGTCATAACTGCAACAGCAAGGAGATGATTGACCAAGGGTGCAAGGACTTTAGGTTCTTGGACTCTTCGAATATAGCTCATTCAATATCGATGCTTCTTTAGTTTATGAACATTTAAGTCTGCCATTAGATGATTATGCTTGGTATAAAGCATCAGAACGAAAAAAGCTTCTTGACCTGTCCAAGCATTGTTGAGTTATTTAGGCTTTGGCTACCAATACTTTGTCTCTTTAATATCTCTTTGGTAACTATGGTACAATAAGCAATAAGATTCAGGCTTACCGTGGCATAAAAGATTATATCGTACTAATTCCAGAAAGAGAGCACTTGAGGTTAGAGGTACAAATGGTATACATTTAACTACTTTAACCCAAAAAAAAAAAAAGAAAAGAAAACTACTACTTGAAGTTCCATAGTTGATTCCTCTTTGCTTTAACCAATTCTAATTAGCACTCTTGGGCCAGGTTGCAGTGGTACAAACTAATAGATTTCTGCTTTCTGTGGGATATGTTCTCTTATTTGCTCAGTTTCCTAGAAGTCTTTGACAGAAGAAGCTTTGCATTGTGAACTTTCTTACCATCATCTTAGAGAACAATGCCCAAACTCGCCAGAAAGTTGAGAGATAGTGTCCAGAATATAAACATGAAAAGAGTTCAGAAAAAAAAAAAGCCATAGAAAACTAGTTAGAAGCTCCTCTTTCAACATGACAGTTATAGAAAACTAGTTATAACAGCCATTGAAAACTTTTCTACTTTCCTGCCCATTGATCCATAAGATAGAAATATATGCCATATGGATACACATAAAAACCTAAGAAACAAATAGTTGTACTATGGACCAGCAAGGAGTAGAACCATATCTTTTGCTCCATACATCCACCTAATGATTCTCAACAAATACATAGTTTTCCTATTGACCTGCAAGGATTAGTTTATGCTGAATGCAATCACCTGTGTGTTTGACTAGGAAATAGTATTACAGTAATACTATTGCTAGCATAGTATTACTCTTCCGAACCCTGGCATCCTCCAGAGAAGGGAGAAAAAAGCAGATGTTGAAATAATGGCGTATTGATGAATGCAAAAGATAACATTATGAAAGTATACCAATCATTTTACCAAAAAATAAAACAACAATATGGACTACGAAAGGCACATGCAGAGGTAATTTGTGTGCAATTTAAGTTTGAGTAGATGAGTAACCTAAGGTAAAGCAAAGCATCTTAAGAGGCAAGTACCATAATCAGGAAGGGGATAATGCAAATCTTGGTCCAGATCATCTCCCCATGTGAGCTCTTTTACTATGGCAGACCCTCGTACATCACCATATAGATTGGCTACAACATTCTTCTTTAACAGCCTAAGTCTATCTGGCAGGTCGGTGAGAACAACATCAGCACCCAAAAGAGCTGTAATGCAACTGAAGAAGACATGAGAAAAAGGAAGTTCAAGAAAAATAGCATCATATGCGTGTCAAATGAAAGAAAACCTTTTAACCTTTCTAACAACTCATATTTATTCAATTATATTCACACAGATAAATCCTAGATAAAATCAACTCATATCCAACAATGTTTACTGCTAATTCTCTTTCTCTCTTATAAAATAAACAAATAATCAGCCACAAGGCTAGAGATGATAAGTAATATTACCCAACCAATCCACAGCCAGAACCCAACTCAACAACTTTTTTTTCCTGAAGAAGAACTTTTCTGCATTCCACAGCATGCTCTAAGAACTTTCCAAGAACAACTCCACTGTCCCACATCACTGCCCCAGTTACACCAGGAGTACCCTATTGCATACTCTTGTTATTGGTTTGAAAAAGGGTATAACAATTTTAAAGAATTATAATCGTACAAGAAGATATTAGATGGAAATAACAAAGTAAACATTGTCGAAGCTTGTCTATCAATGTTGAAGCCTCAAATGGAAGCACAAGCATTTCCAAGTCCAGAAGAAAAGGAGCTATTACAAGCTAAAAAGCTTTCCAAACTATATCTGTTTCACTATATCCTGATCATCTCAGAGATGGCTGCATACAGAATCCGAAATACTTGAAATTCTCATCGAAGGACAAGCTTGAAGCTTACATATCTAGACTCACAGAAGAAACAAGTGTATCAAATTTTACTTGTAAAATAGAAATAGCAGTAGTTTGTCTTTCATCAATCTCACAAAAATTATCCACTTTCCCCTTTAAAGTCACCATATCTTGTAAACAAGGAGGTAACACTCCTAGATTACTACAGAAAATTGGTTACCTACTCATGGTCCAAAATGCTGTTAACACTTACTCTTGGTGCCAACTAAGTAAGAATTCATCCATGAAATAAACTTCAAGCAGAATTAATAAAAGCCACATCTAAGACTATTATCGACTCAAGTGGATCATCCATCAACTGTCAACTGAAGCACAAATAAACTGAATCAGACATTCAACGCCTTTTCTTTCACAAGTAACAGTAAAATATCCTCTCTCTTTTTCTCCCCCAATTTGAAAAAAAAAAAGGTCTACCAATAGATGCATTGAAATAATTTCTTTCCAAGCCTAGTCAACTGGGCATTGACTATTTTCCGCCAAATCTACATCTACAAACTCGCCTACAGTTTTCAGCATGTTAGATCAAATCAAAAACTAAAAATCACTCAACAATACTGTCAATATAAAGCCTATTCAAATTGGAAGAGAGGACAGATAGAGAGAGAGAAGCTACCAAGGAAGAAGGGGATTGGAGAATGGAGAGAGAGCGACCGCAAGCATCTATGTGGAGTTGGGGAGAAGATTGATGAACAAAGACATTGTGCTTTGAGAGAATGGGCTGTTGGATTCCCCACAAAAGCATGATTTCTTCGGCCGCCTCTTCACTACGCACAATTCTCACTTTCCCCTTATACAATCCCAGCCCTTCCACTTCCAGCATTTCTGATTCCTCAAGCTCCTCTTCTCCTTTTTCACCTCCATCTTTTGAGTATTCACTGAGCATGGTAGCCTTCGATTCTTTTAAGGATTTTTTTTAAAACAATTCTTTTGGCCCCTCAAATTCTAGTCTCTCTGTTTAGCTTCATGAATGAAAGGAAGAAGATGAATTGATGAATTACTTGGCAATTCTACCCGGTCCGATGGTGCTCCATGTTAAAATATTTGTGCCCACTCACGACTCATCTCTTTAAGGAAGGGCAAACTTCATTTTGCACCTCCGAATTTGTACCGTTTCACACGTTGCATTCTAAATTTTAATTTTAGACATTTTGTATTCTAAATTCTTAACGTGTTCGGGCCGGGTTGGGGCGCCGGGTCCAGGCCGCAGGGGATTAGTCGGGCCCCGTAAGAATTGACCCGGACACCCCTGTGTCGAAAAAAAAAAAAAGAGTATTCTAAATTCTTAATTTTGAACGCTCTATGCTCCAAGCTCTTACGTTTGTCATACTTAAATCCAGTCAATAATGATTTTTACAAAATTAATGGTATAAAGGATCCAATAAATTAATGAAATATGCCTAGAGTAATCAAAAGGTGCCAAGGTATCACAGTAAAAATAAAACAATACATTATTTGGATAAGAGTTTATTTGGATGATTTATTTGAGATAATTACTGTAGCACTTTTTGTGATATGATGTATGTGAGATAAAAATGTGATTGAGAAGATAAAAAGGTGGTTGAAATTTGTGAAGTAAATTTTTTTATTTGAAATCAAAGTTGTCCAGACAATTTTTAGTTTGCACCATCTTTTATCTCATCAGATTTGCTAACAAATTAATAATTAAGACTCTATAAATGAAAGATAATGTGCTCCAAATGGTAAAAAAAAGCTAATGAATCGTAGTTGGAACAAAGCAGTATGTTGTCATTAATTTTCACTGTCTTTTATCTCATTGATTTTGCCAACATAATCATTGATTGGACTTAAATGGGACAAACCAACGTTGTCAAAATCGCGATCCGGATTGTAGGATCGTACAGAAAATTACAATAAAAAATTTGAAAAAGAAAGAAAGAAAAAGAAAAGGAGAAGGAAAAAGAAAAAGAAAAGAAAAAAAGGTTTTACATCTTAAAAATTTTTTCTATAATTTTTACAGCAAGTTACAATAAAGTTTTAAATAAACACTCAAAAAACTCATTTGCCAAACTGGGCCATTGTTTCTTCGCTCAACAATACTCTAGAGTATTACTTATAGACATTAATCTCCTCTATCCTCAACTTCAATTTGAATACTGAATATAGTACTATTCTTTTGCTACTTGTTTTGGATAATATTCCAATAAAAGTTAATTTTAATATTATTAAAACAGAAGACTTAAAATTCAAAAATTTGACAAAATTTTCGTTGAAATATCATGGATATCGTACAAAAAAATCACACAAATTGCATTATTCACGATTAATTTGCTTGTCATCCTAGTTGAATGAAATTATAGTTATGCCCATGAATGGATTTAAAACACGAAATAATCTCACATCAAAGCAACGTTGTGTATGCATATGTACTATTTAACAAAATAACATGAATGTTCCTGATCAATTATACTCTTGTTGAGACACAAAATGAGAAAATTTACAAAATTTTGAATAAATAACATCAAAACAGGGGCCAAAACAAGCGACGAAAATTATTAAAAAAAATTGAAATTCAAAATCGAGCTAAACCAACCCTTACATGTAATGGCTAGAGCTTCTTTTTGTGTGATAGAGAGATTGATGAGAGGAACTGTAATAGATTTTGTCGAACAGCAAAGTGAAAACAAGTAAGGAGTCTAAAGAGGGATTTTTGCAGTAGATTTCATGGAAAAAATGATGGATCAAGAGCTGACACAGTGGGGCAATTGAGAGCAAGATGGGAAAGGAAAACGTTTAGGAAGAGACGGCAATGGGAGAGGTTGTTTAATTAATGATGGATTAATAATTACCTCTTTAGTGGAGGCGGTTGTACAATGAGAGCAAGAGCTAAAATGAGTAGGGAAACAAGTGAATACTAAACACGAAGGAGCATGAAAAAATACGTTCACCAACCTTTTAGAACACTACGGAATCCATCCTGAGGGCATTGGAATTGGTCTTCAAGTAAAAGGAAATTTGAGCCGAGAGTTTTTTCTCTCTCTAGGTAGAGAAACTTCCGCCTAGTGGGTGCCTGAAAATAATTCAAGTTTTCAAAACTTTCTGTGCCTTCATCTTTCCCAAAAACTTTCAGAGCCATCTGAGCTGAGGATCTACTTTGGTTTCTGCAAATAATTAGTAAATGCAGTAGCAGGTAACTGTTATTAACAATTATACGGTCGAAAAAAGATGGAAAGTTGAAGTTTACAAAGGCAAATTTGGACAGGGATGGACACGATTCACAATAGAGAATCTAATGACAACATTTGATGTAATACTAGTTTGGCATAATGGAAACTTAAACTTTGATATTGTCCATTTTTCTAAGGTTAAAATGTACACCTACTTTTTTCTTTTTTTGACAACACTAGTCTCAGTGTTTAGTAGCAACACATTCTAAGAAGTAATGGCAAATGACCTTCTACACTTTCTATTGAATTTTAGATATCTATATGAGCAAATTATCCGGATAATTACCAAACTTTTAGAATCGTTGAGTTTTGGTCATTGAACTATTACAAGTCTGGCTTTAACTACTGAACTATTTAAAGTCTAGATATCAAGCTATTCTGTTAGATTTAATCGTTAAATATGACAGATTTGAGTGTTCGCACGATTCACGAGACAAAAGAAAGAGGCATAATGTGAGAACTCGAGAAAAATTATATGCATGCTATGAATTTCTTTTATTTTAGTTACTTTGATATTAGAAATATTATATATAACGAATAAATGGTTAAATTAAATGCCTACTTGAATTTATATAAAAATTGAGAATATAGAAATATCCTAGAATGGTTAAAAAAAAATTATATGAATCAAATAAACATATGATATACATATTGTAATTTGAGCCATTTGAATATATCATATAGTTGAATAAGTTACATGACTAATCAATTTTCCTTAAAGTCATATGTGTGAAAATTTACTAGATCAAAATAAGCAAAAATTTTCAAGGTACATACAAATTAGAACAAACGAAATTTTGAGCCAATGTGTGAGACAATAAAATTTCGGACTCATGGCAAATAAATGAACTAAAATTAAAAGACCAAACCAATCTTGGAACCTAAGTAAGTAACCATGCAGTCAAACAAAATAAACTATCAGCAATTTTTACAATAGGAGCCGAGGGAGGAAAAAACAGTTGGAGAATTTGGAACCGAATGGAAGTAAAATAATCTTCAAGAAATTTGAGCGGTAGCCTGAGTGAGCTGCTTAGTTGGTAGCACCGACTGGAACATTGACCACCGAATGAATTGTTTTCCTTTTGATCCTTAAGTCTTCTAAGCAGAGAGCTAAGTGAATATAAGAGGAGAAAGTAGCTGCCAATGGTTAGCCAAATCCAAGCGGTGACCGACTGAAGGAAAAAGAGAAACCAACTACAAAACTTGGGCGGTGGCAGAGAGCAAGACAAAATCTGTAGCACCTCTCCTTGCCAAGCTAGCATCGAGAGAAAACAGAGAGAGTGAGAAAAGAGAGCGAAACTGAGGAAGAGAGTGGGAGCTTGGTTGGTTTCTTCACGAATTAACCCAGGGACAAGAAGAAATATGGTAAGGAAAGTAAGGGAGGCTGGAGCTAACACTCGAGGGCACAAAAGTTGGGAAGAGAAACTGATTACGTTTGCAATTCCTAACACTTAAGGCCAGAGGTAAACTATAGCCTTTCTTTCCATTTCTTTTGCGTTTTTCTAGTAGTCTCTTAGGCTGAGTTAGAACCAAGTAAAGAAAGAAACTTTCTAGAAAGCAAAGATCAACAAAGCTGGAAATGTTCGTTTGAAATTGTTATCCGATATTTGATGAGCTAAGCTGTAATTTTCTGGTTGTTTCTTATGTTGCGTATCTTATATACACTCTCTAGCCATATATCTTGACATACATACAGATTATATCTTCAAATAAAACCTGTTAAGATGAAATTATGATGAACTGCTGGCTGGAATTCTTGATACAATGAAGGATGATTGCCGATGGGGTAAAGTTGGAAAGAATTTCGGTTCTGGCCAAAAGTTTTGTTGAAACTGGTTAGGACTTGTTTGGTGCACCATCGGTGACCTTAATCTGATTATGCATGTAATGTTTGAAGTGCTAAAAGCAAGAAAAAAATGAACTTTGAAAGCAACACTGAAGCTGGAATTTCAAGACAGCAGATTGGGATGGAAAAGCTGCAATTTTGGTTATTTCTCTAAAAGTTTTGCTAGATTGTGACTAGAACTCATGCATTATGCTCTGCATAATGTTTCTGGGGTGATGCATGTGAATTTCTATAGTAAAAATTTGAGTTTTATGGCAGGTTTCTTGCTGGAATTCCCAGCTTTGGCCGAGAGAGGAAATGAACTTCAGATCAGCTTTTCTTTGGAATTTTAGCTGCAAATTTTTATGTTTGCTGTTCAAGATTACTTTGTAGCCTGATAATTATATTTTTGCATGTTGAGTTGGAGTTAAAACTGAAGAAATTATGGAGGAAGTGCTGTATACTAAACTGCTACATGGTTGGATGATTTAGCTAGCTGATGACAAGATATGTGGTGTAGCATATGTTACGCGAGTTAGTATTCGCATCGAATTCAATGGATCTGCCTGAGTACAGTTGCCAGCTAGCCTTACCATTGTTCATTAGATAATATCGTGGAAGCATATTGTTTCTTCATTGCCTGCATGGCACAGACTGTTCATGCTTGCCCTACCAAGAGCAATCACATTTTTATACCACCACTAGCTGCTGATCTGACTAATTCTCTTAATGGATTTCTCGGGGTCATTCAATTTTTGCCAATATGCTACTCTTATCATGCATCAAACATCACTCTGGTCTAGGGGTTATTAGACCTTGCACAGGATTTGTGGTCTCGTGGCTTGGAGTTTATCAGTAAGGCATTTTCAGCAAGTACCCCACACTCACCATCCTTGTTGGAGCAAGAGTGCTATACGTGAAATGTACCCTCTACTTTTCATATTTCCGTGTATCTGTTATATCTCTTTTTATTTATTGTAGAACAGAGCATTGAGCATGTTTGCTTCATGTACGTCTTATTGATTTTAACACTTGAAAAGCTGGTGAATTAGAGCAAATTTAAACAACAAG